CTACAAACTGCAAGCTGCCCCTGCTGGTATCAGCTTCTAACATGTAGACACCTCCAGAAACCTTTAAACCTTAAAAACCCTTTGTCTGATTCAATTCATTGACATCTACATCAGTCTTAGGTTGATGACTAAGATAAGAAGTGCAAGTAGAGAACTGAAGAAGCGTACCAGATACCTGTCTGGCATGACATTTGCTGTAGTACATTAACCAAGCCTCCTGCATACATTGTTAAAGTGCATTTTAAATGTTAAATTTTGCTTTTCAGCTTTCCAAAAAGCTTGTAGTTCTCTCACCAATAGAAACCATTACTGTGCAAAACCCGTTAGGTCTGTATCCATCTTTGGGAGAGTGAATACAGACAGGTGAGAATGTTCCTTATGTTTAAACCAAGAAAAACAAGAACTCGCCCTTTGGACAGCTGGTGAAACAGAGGGAAAAGCTGCACAGAATTTCTTATTTCAGAAGGTTGCAACTTAAAATAGAACTCGATTTCTTCATATGTTAATGTTAGCATTTATGAAGTGCTGGACTCAAACTGCAGCAATAACAATTAACCTCAAGCCAATTCTCAGAAAACAGACTGCAAGAATTTTCCTTAAAATCAGCTAATGGATGATGGTGGTTGCTATTTCAACTAGCCTTCACAGTGTGTATGACAACAAAGCAGACCTGTATGCATATTTTTTTTAAACTGAAGATTTATTGGAAAGACATTTGATCCCATATCTTTTCAGCAATATAGGATATTTAACATTTTATATAGACTGTATTCAAGTAGAAAAGATTACATTAAAAATTTCTAATATTGCACTTGGGACAAGTCATGGCTAAGCTACTAACATTAGCATTCCAGAACAAAATCATACATAGTCTTCAGAATTTTAGCGAGCTGCCTTGTGTTATCATTAGGATCTCCTTACAGGTATTTTGATATACTGTACTATTCACCTTAAGCTCACTGCTAAGAGTAATTCCGTAATTTAAAGGTAAAGGCAAGCAATATGCTGAAGGCAAGCAATATGCTGTATGCTACCAGGAATGATTTTGGCAATTTCTTCATTCACAATATTTCACACTTCAGCCAAAATGCTGTAGCGATTCATTTAACTCTTGTACAAGATCCCAGCATACACATGAAAGACTTCAATGCACATGGGAAGTGAAATACACAACTCCTTTTACACATTATTTCCACCAGGAACCTTTTGTGGCCCACTGAAACAGACAAGTAGATTAACCAGTATTTGCACACAGTGAGACACGTAGTGAACACGCGCCAGGCACAGCAGAAGCATAACTGGCATCTTTTCACATTATAGCAGTCTCTGGCCAATGAAGTCCCAATAGGGATGGTCACTGCAACAAAGCCTGAATGGGGGAGAAATCCAAAAGGGAATCCCAGCAAGTTGCAGATAGGGATTTTCATAGAAGTGTAAAGGAGGAATTAGCCACTAAGTGGGTATTAGGGATCAGAGAAATGGATTATAAAAAAAAAAAGAAAGAAGAAAGTCCCTCTATACACATTCCCGAACATGTTTAAAAGGTGTGGGATAATCAAGAATCATAGCAAGTGGCAGTCTCATGGCTGCTCGGGAAAACAGGACAGGGCTTAATTAGTAATTAAAGCTGTTGCTCTGAACTGGTATTTAAAGATCTTGTTACATGAGTATTGATTAGCATTTGCATTTTATAGAAGCATGAAGATTTCTGCAACTGAAATCTGCACTGTGAGAGTAAAGCCATGAACTTCACAATTTGATTGCACAGTGGGTGCAAAGGGTGGAAAACTGCAGTTCAGCAGAAGCTTCTCTCCCCTCTTGTACCTTGTTTACATTCCCAGAACAGGTTCACTTAAAGAGTTAAAAAGAGATACCGTTTCGTTCCTTCAGCTTTAAACCCAGCTTTTCTTCAGAAAAAAAAAAAGAATGTTAAGAATCACTAACGTCCATTTTATTAGTAGCAGCAGTTTCAATTTTTATGCAAAAATAGCATCAGCAGCTCTTACTAATGATGCAATTAAACTTCCATTTTAGTAAGCAGTATTACATAAAAAGCAGAGTCATTTATTTGGACCAGCACTTCTTGCCTTAGTTTAGCAAATCGTACAAGTAACCTAGCTCTCTGTAGGGGCCCTGTTGATGGAAGGAACAAGTCTATCCATATGTATAAACTTACAGGATTAGCCTACAAAGGACCAGTCTTCACTGTGCACACACTTTAAGAGTAGTTTTCTTTCACTGTTCTTTACCATAATAAACATTTGGTGTATTTTAATACAGACACTTGTTTTATCTTCTTATTTTGCTGTAGGTCCTGTAAAAAATCATGCATTTTGCAGGCTTTGTCTTTGGGACAATATAGTTATAAGTTACCGTTTTCAGTCACAGAAAAAAAAAAAAAAAAAAAATCACAAAGACAGACCAGTAACCCCACAGTAAGCTTCAGCTACATGAAAACATGAGAAAATCATACTGTGAAAACTTGGTTCAAAATTCAGTACTGGATACCAGGAAGCTGAGTTTTAGCAGATGATCTGCAGACATTCATCCACATCTGGATGTCAGTCATTCACTCAAATCTTTAAATGATGAAATGCATCTCCAACAAAGTGTTAAAAGCAAGTGTTATATAATAAGCTAAGTGTTAGGTAATTAGCAAAACACAAAATAATGGAGCTTTGACTCTCAGGATAAGAAAAGCTGCACTTTCAATTGCATGATTTGTACTCTCCTAAAACCTGAGCAAGTATCCCCTTAGTAGGTGAAAAAGATAAATCAGATGTCACTCTGTTTACTGACATACTAGATGTGATTGTAGTTACCTACTGGACATATCTACTGTCTTCTGTAGAATTTTGTGATGCTTATCCTTTTTCAGAAAGACTAAAAAGGCTTAAAGTCTATCCTCAATTATATTTAACAAATGATACATTTCTTACTATAAAAACATCAAGTTGTCCTTAAAAATAATGAAGAAAGTGCTATCTTAGAAAACTCAGACTTGCACATATGCTTCCAACAGTCTGATAAGTTCTCATAAGCAAAAGATGAAAAAAAAATTATTTAAATCAATATTGTGTAATTATAACCAGCTTATACACTTTTTCACTCTATTTCCCATATTTAAAAAGTTTGTAGTTGTACATCTTAAAAAAACCCAACAAACAACAAACCCAATTGCCACTCAGGCAGATTCTCACTTGGAAACAAATTGTAGCAGTTGTCTTTTCATTAAGACGACTAAAATAGTTGCCAAGCCCAGCATCTTGGGCAGCACTACAGTATTTCAGCAAGTTCAGGAATACTCAGTCCCAAACATGCTAGTATAAGAACTGATATAAACCAAAGCCTGCTCTTGGATCATGATGCAATTGCAATGAAGTTGGCTGGTGCTTGCCTTTAAAGTGATATCAATTGATCTTCTCTAGCCTCAAATAGTAGTAATACTAACTATAAAAAAAAAATCATGCTATCAATCAACAAGAAGCAGTCTATATGCAACATACTACAAAACAACATAAGGGATCTCTGCCCTATAATCACAACCATATTTTAATTACCTTTTCTGTGAACATATATGCAAACAGTAACTTAAACTGCAGTACTCAAATCTGCTCAACAGAGTCTTGCACCCCTCCCCTGTGTCATATAACCTTCAGATCCCATGCTCCAGTCAGGAACTCCAGACCTGGCAGAGCATCTGCAAGGTGAGATGGGGAGGGAGCCTGACGGCGTGCCAGGCAGGAGGCCAGAAGAGAGATGTGGAAGGGTGCAGCCAGCTGAAAGGGCATTCTGCACGTGCATTCCCAGGAGAAGCGAACAGGATCAGAAACCAGCAATAGGGATAAAGAAGGATCTGAAGACTGGAAGAGACTGTAAAGGTTAAAAGCAGTATGTATGTGGCTTTTTACTGCTATTTTTCTTTACACCCAGTTTTCAGTTCCAAGAACATGAGTACACCTCCAAGCTTTGTACAAAATCAACATTCACGTTTCAATACCTCACCTGGAAAATTCAGGAACCACCTATCAATTTAACAACCGTCGTGCTTCCACATGAAAAGAGATCAAAATTCAGGTGCTATATAGAAACGACAGAACGAAAGCAAGGAACTCTTCATCTCCATCATGAATTCAGCAACACCAATGGCAAACAAACCATTTCTGCAAATGAAACTTTGGTATTTTCATAGTGCCTAGCACTTACTACACAGACATTGTCAGCTTCAGGGGGCCTTGATTTCAGTATTACCACGTATCAGGTACCAGAAGAGTACTTAAAATCCATACCAGTCAGTAGCAGCTATGATTTATCATAAAAATGGCTGTCTTGTTTTTCACTCTGCAATGTTTCGTTTGTAAAATGTCCTCTTACAGAATCTTCCATTATTAAGTTAACTACTACAGCATAGTGGAATTATCATCTACAATACCAAGTATAGCAGATTGTCTTTGAAAACAATGCTCAGATCTGAAAGTGTAAAATGATTATAAATGCTAGAAAAGTATGACAGACTAATGTTTCTGGAAAAAACAACTTACTGCATTGAGATTTTTTTTTTTTTCCCATGAAAACACACAAGGCTACAGGAAGATAGTCAAAAATACCAGACTTGTCAACCTGGAAAAAGCATAATCTTAAACAGCATGAACCTTGGTCCTTATTTCCATTTCAGGTATAACCACCAGGAACAATTATTTTTAGTATTCGGAAAGGCAAAAGTTATCTCACTGATCACTTTAATAAAAATTATTACAACCTATTAAAATCAAGGAGATTTAAGCTTTCACAAACGATTTAGGGATTTAATTTTTCCCACCACATAATTTGGAGGATAAAAAAACTTCAAGCGTTGCTTCCATCACCAGCATCTTCCCTCAGCTGCCTGTTGTTTCAGTGACTACGAACACGAGTAGCATCATGTAATGTCTCGCTACTCTCAACAGTATGAAGAGACTAAGAATTAGTGTTTAATATTTTGACTAAAATAATTTCCACAGGATATCTGCAACAAAATATCCAGCTTATTTTGGAAGCAAGTCTCTTGACAACAGCTTTGCCTTTTTTTACATTTAGAATTTTTCTGTTTGGTTAAGATGCAAGTATAAGGGAAGTCTCACATCTACAGTTATGCAAGTACACAAACCCCCCACATACATCACTAGGAAATAATCAGACTGCATACAAGATATTTGTAAAAGTAATAAAACCCTTTGATGCTCCATGTTTATGCTGGCAAATACCTCTCCTGATATAAAAGGCACTTTGAAAACCCAATATGGTTTGGTTCATTAAGTTTGCAAAGTACAAACAATTGTACAAACATACAATTATATTGAAGCATGTCAGCCATTGTGACATTATCTACAAAACAAGTTTCCAATTGTTGATAACACTGGTTTTATGGGAATGAGCAGTGGTTTCAGCAGCTTTACTGAAGACATGACAGGGTTTCCAGTACCACAATCTCAGTAAGTAAAAAACCCTCAAAGACTTACAAGTTTAGGGGCCACAAAAAGACAAGACCCAAAGTCTGTAACATTCATTCAATATTTACTCCTTAGAAGTGAACTCCATCCATAGCCCAAGGGCAGAAATCTATTCAGTCAATTCCAGAACAGTGGTGGAGGCAGGCTCTGTCTTGAGAAGTATGTTGTTATACCGTTACAGTACAGAAAACTTTGGTCCAACAGCCCAAGTTCAGAAATTCACTACATGGCTGCAACATCAATCTGTATATAAAGCTGTCTTACTCCTACCTATGGAAAAGAGAAAGAGCGTTAAAAAAATCCTGTAAAGCCAAAGCAATTTAACTGTCCTGAACACCAGTCCACATCAGTAAATTACCTAGCAAAAAAACTCCCTATCTTATTTTTCTGTAATTCATCTTCCGCATCTAGCACATCATTCACTGAGGTACTGGCAATTTGGAAACCTACAAACATTGAGAGCGCTGTATGAATACGTAGTTCTTCACATAGTCAAGCGCACGTATGTAATTATATATTAACATTAGCTTTGCTACATTACCTTTTCTGATTCATCCTAACTGTCACACATGAAGCTGCACAAAAGCAATTCTTATTTTCTTTTATACAAATTTAATTTCCCGAAAAGTAAGCTGCTTGAAGAGCTGGAGTTTAAAATGGAGCTAAGCACAAGAGCATAACATGGGATTTGTTGTTTGAACCAGTTCTACACTAACATTTTAGCAAGAAACAACAATGGCTACAATGAATATACATGACATCATGACACACTAAAATAACTTTTGATAAAGGTATGTGAATTGTACGAAAGCATTTCTCTCCTCAGAAATCCTATTAAACTAGGCTTAGATGGACTTGCTTAGTTTTATTATCATTCAGTATAAAACAGCATTAAAAAAATCAGTTAGTCATTCATTTTAATCTCAGTGGCAGGCCAACAACAATGTTGTGATGGTCAGTGGTTATGCAACGTGATCTTGAAGCATTAGGCTGAACACTGCTAAAGATCAGATTGTCTTCAACTATCATCAACTTGCTTTTAGCTCAGTTGAGTGGCAAAACCAACTATCAATTATATCAAGATTAATGAGGGCCAATATTACTGAGGAGAAAAATCTCTACTTGCTCCAACTGTTCCTCCACTTATTACCATGGGTCAGATAAGAAAAATGATAGATCTTATTCTGCCAGTTTCCTTCCTGGACACATGGCTCTTGATACCTGCACAGCTACAAAACACCTGAAGAGCTAATGACTCACTTGGAAAATGCAATCCTTTGGAGACTTGAGATGTAAAATTAGTTTAAATGTAATAGAATGTTCTGCATAGTCCTTCCCTCCCAAAAAATCCCTTAGTTTCCAACTACATAGTCTGCAGAATAAGCCATGCAGACTGATTTCTACCTAACTCAATCTAGAGCTGTATGTAATGGAACATCTCAAAAAAGGACCAAACTTTATTCATAAAGTTTGATTTTAGAATATTTGTATCAACAAATCCTCCTTCCGTAAGTCTCTAACATAAAAACAAGTATGTGTGTTTATTTTTATTGGGTTCCCCATGACTGACTAGTTTAAAATTCCTTAAAATGTAAGGAGTTCAAAAGAATTCATGCACTCAGGCAGCTGAGTATGCAAGATGCATGAAAAAATGAAACAAAAAATCCAGTCTGGAATTTTTCATAAATGTTATAAAGCAATTAATAAAAGGGGCGATTATCAGATGCATAAATGATTCACTAAGCCATCACATACACAAGCTGCAAATGCAGTAGACCAATAGGACATTTAGAACAAGGGAAAGAACAAGCACACAAGGACTTTCCCCACTGTAAAAAGCTTTGAAAAGAACATTTATGCAAGCACTAATTAAACTGTTAACAGAACCATTTTTTTATTTACAGATCAAATATACCTGATCAGAAGCCCCCTTTCTTCACTGTCCAGCTGACTTAGAGAAGACGGTAACTTACATATCTCCAAAATATTACCCTTTACCTGATGATATTTTGTTACCTAAAACATTGGTTATAACAGGAATATTTGTTTCCTTATCAGCTACAGAACTCTCCATTACTCAAAAGCAGAGAAAGGACATTATGGAAAAATGTAATCATTTTTTCAAATATAGTCCTCCAGCATCAAGAATAAAACCAGGATGTTTGTCTCTGGATGGTATAAGAGAGAAAGTTTCCAGCTTTATTCTTCACTAAGTTCTCTTGCTGGAGAAGAATTTTCTGTTTTATCGTAATAGACTCTAGGTTCTACCTGTAAACCATTCATATCCAGTAGCTATACTGGAATAGGCAGCCAAACTGAATTTAATCTTGAATGGTTAAAAGTATAAGGAACCAACAGAAAAATCTTTTGAAATTTGTAAGATTTTAATTTTAAGGCAAAAATTATCAACTTCTAATAGTTTCTGTCATTCACAAGAATGCAAGCATTTCATATCAGCTACAAGTGCTATCAATATCTGTATAAAAAAATATTTTGAAATAAACAGGAAACACACTGTTCATATCAACATTACAATTGATGGTTACATTTTAACTAGTGATCACCATAGCATGGATATTACTAAAAGACAACAAAATATACAAAGACCATGGGTTCTTAAGAGGGATAGAAATAAATGACAAATACATTTTCTGAGGGATAGAAATGAATGACAAATACAGCAGCAGCACAGTGAAGAACAAGTAGGTCCACCCTGTGGTCGGAAGTCCTATCTTGAGAGAAGCCTGATCTATTTTCTTGGTTCCTCATAGATCAATATAGGGTTTCATCTTAATTTGATATACCTCAGACAACTATAGCTGTTATCTCCAGTAAGTGGCATCAAAAATTAATGCAGAGAGGTACAGCAATTCTATCTACACTGTTGAGTATTTTGAAATTGTTCTATACAGCTGGAGCAGAGCAGCTTTTCAAAACACTGATACCAAAACCAGAAACATTTAATTTTTCTTGGTAAGAATTACAATGTCACATCACATAACAGGCAATTTACACTTTGAGATGTGATTTCCACTGATGAGACATACCTGAGTAAAAATATTGTGAGTCTGGCTTAGAATCCACCTTCCATCAGCATCAGGAGCTACTAATAATTTCAAAGTCCCTATGTAAACATCAGTACAAAGGGTCCAGAAATGTGGATCATGTAAACTGTAAACTCCTTGCAACTGTTGCACCTAAAAATACAAGCAAATTTAAAAAAAATATATTTCAGAAAATGTTTATCTGTACTATGTTTTTTTACAGAAAATATTACAAAAGCCGATGCATTCTTTTACTTCTAGTTCACTACGCAATTTGTGGTATTTCACTTAAATTCCTTATTACTATCTCAGTAATTGTAAGGAAGGTGAAAACATACACATTGTATGTATGTGTCATGATTTTGTATCTTGCTGCATTTACATTCTACATATATTTTACTGAAACCATTTCTGAAAACAGTGGTGTCCAAGAGAGAAGTCAGTTATTAAATTTGAGAGGGCATTCAATTAAAACAGCAATTTTTGCAAAGGCAGGAATTTTCCCATAAAACAATTTATGAGAGATTCTAACTATTAACAGAAATATATTAATATTTCTGAGGCTTAGGTTTGTCCTTTCAAAACCCTTCTTTTTGCTCTGTCCAATTTTAGCAAACCCTCCACGTGACGATTACAATTCTGTAACTTCCTGAGGAAAGATAGCACTCCTACAAGTGCTTTGTATTAACTTTGCAAAGGCGCTTCAAATGTTCAGGTCATGACACAGTAATAGATAAGTCAAACAGGAGTACCAGGAGAGGTCAAATACAGAGTAATCCATGTACTCTTATAAATACATTTCCAATGCTACTCCACCTCACTTTACTAAGAACTAGATTTTGAGGGAGACAAAAACTGAACAAAACAGAAAAACATTAAGCACTTTGTATCAGCACAAAGTATTTTGAGAGGAAAAGCTTCAGGATCTATTTTTCTAAACCAACATAGCACATTTTAAAACACAAACTGAGTTGAAGCTACATAAAATTTAGGACTTCAGAAAGATAAGAATCAAACTGGTACCTCCATTTGTACAATCTAAGGAACCTTGGAAAAACATCACAAAATATCCTCATATACACAGTTGGGGCTCATTCAGTCAGCAGCTTGATCTGAAGCAAAAACAGCCTAAGAGCTCACCCTTTGGTAGCACTGAGGCAGGGCATTTTCCAGGGAAGGAGGAGTTCGCTGCATCAAAATTCCAATGGATTCTTTTAGAAGTGGAACAATACTGGAAAGAAAAAAAAGGAAGTTAGCTACTATTACATTTTTCAAAAGATGCAGAACAAAGAGCACCATAACATTCCTTAATGCTCTTGAAGAATTTTTCTTCAGTTGTTTCACCAGAAGCTGAGAAAGTTGCCATGAACACCTGGTACAGAAAATAAAAGAATTGACGAAATTGCTATGATGTCTTACTAAAGGCAAGATTTTCCACAGAGACAACTGGTGGACAATCACAAAAGATTAATAGCTTAATCATGGGATTTGAGATGAAATCTCTTAGTGTCTTAAAAGTTGTATGAAAAAGCAGCTGGTAAATATAGCTCAAAACCAAAACCTACTTCAAGGGAAATCATTCACAACCAACCATAAAAATATGCAACTGAAATGGGTTTTGCTTTTGTGTTTGGCTTAAGGCATATTTTTCTTATGAACTAAGATAATAATGGGGAGATCATAAAACAAAATTAGTATGGACCAGTCCAGCTATAACAAAGTTATTTTGTCAGAACAGACAACTTAGCATATTCTTGAAGTGTAGGGTCTCATCCAAGCTCAAGGATTAAACATTTGGAAGCAATTAGAAGTTCCCTCCTGGCCAAATGGTCTTGTTTAATCAGCAAACTAAGATGACATTTAATACCTTTTCTTTTCGTTTTTGTTTTTTTTTAAATAAAACCAGGAGACCAGTAAGCCCATACCCTGAAGCTACCACTAAAAATTTATACTCTCACTAAGTATGCAGTATGGTGATGTTTTGTTTAGGAGTAGTGCATCATGTCTGACTCAGTAGAGCATTCTAAAATTTTCAAGAAGATGACAAATACCTATAGCCCAATACTGAAACTTAAACAATAATCTAATTTCAAGAGCATGTAAGGGACCTAACACTCTAGACCAAAAGTGATGATATATTTCAGAAACTGTAAGCTGAATTTCAGTGCTCAGCGCTCAGCGCTGGCATCACAGCTGGAGTACGTAGAGTGATGGAATAAAAAGCAACCAGAAAACATTTGCAAGAGATTAATTGGGCTGTCTGTTAAAGGAAACTGCAGAAGCTTTGTTTAAAATCTCATGAAGCAATGCACAGGCCAGCTGTATATTTGCAGATAGTGAACAGCATGACCTAACTATTCCTTTCCATTTTTAAATAGATGGTTCCATTTGTACATAGAAACAGTACTGGCTGATCAACTGCTCAGCTCGCTCCTTGGCTAATCCTTAGCCAGGGGTGGGAGGGAGTTAGAGGGTGCATGACTCTTGTCTAATGAACCCCTGGAAAAACAGCCACCCTAAAATTAAGTCTTCTTGCAGGCTCACTGGTTATTCCAGCCAAATTCACTGCCTGATGCACTCCATCACGTGGCCTCACGCAGTTGCACTGCTATCAAGGAATCAGTTCAGAAATAGGAAGAAGCAATTAGGGGCAGGCAGGAGTTGCCTAAACTGGACCTGTCACCAAGACAATTAAACATTTAGCAATGCAATAACTGTCAATCTGTCTAAAGGAAGCTTAATTGGAGTGTCACATTCCACAGACAGTGGATTACAGAAGTTTAGGGAAAAAGGTTCTCTTATCAATGGACCCATCTCACTAAATAATGTCCATGTCACAAGCATTACATCAAAGGGAACTGGAGCTGCCAAAATACTCCATGGCTGAATTGATTTCAGTTTAACTCACTACTTAAAATGCAGGTTTGCTTCTTAATAAAAACCTTGAAAGACCAATACACAAGTTCAGGATGCAAACTGAATACAAGATTTTTGAACACTGACTCCATCCCCATAAATTTAACAAGGCCCCTCTAACATATGCATCCAAAGGCTTCAAAAAACCACACATGTACAGGCTGCATATTTTTTCCCAGGGAAAGGACTAAAGGAATGGAGAATGTAGGAGCTTGCCTTTTTATTGGAACATACCCCTAAGAGTGAAAAAAATCCATGAAACAAATCTAACAAAAAAAGTCTGATTTGCACAACTTATTTACATTATTTGATAAAACTGATGTACATTATCTGATGGAATGGAAATGAACTGGCAAGTAGGAGATTTGGAGAGACAGCCTACGGAAATTTAAGACTAACAGGTTGAGCATGTTAACCCATTCCAAAAAATGATTTGGTCAGTGAAACTGGTTGATTCATTCTGGAACAGGACGCACATTGAAAAGAGGAAGTTAAAACCCCGTTAGAGAGTTTTTCAGCTGAAGATGCATTTAAAATTAAGATCTGCTTCATTCTGAAAACCTTGTTGCCTAAGAAACTGATCTTCCAAGGTTAAGTCTATGCAATCAGCAGGGTGTGTACAAGCACCAAAGACTGTCTCTCTTTGCCAGGCAATGGGATGCAGTTTTAAGCAGCATGTATTGGAACCATTAGCTCAAAATCAACTAATATACAAAAGGGTGAATGGGGAAAGACACTCCACTCCTAGTATAGGTGGTACAGCTTAAAAGATAGTCTCCCCGCTGGCAAGATTTCACCTATTCATGTTTTTGTAATGGCTCCACACTAAAGCATTAAGAGAGAAACCTCCTGTGCAAGTTTTTGCCAATAATGCTGCACAAGTTATGCTTTTACCCAGACTTCACAAAAAAGCTAAAGCCATGGTGTTTAACTTAAACAGCAACATCTTAAAAGTCCAAAGAATAGAGGTAAATCAGGATGTGGCTTGATACTGTGGGTGAAAGTTGAAGCATATCCCAGGTCACACCTCCTTCCTCTAACTTAGACAGGGTTCAGCTACAAATTTATCTTTACATATTTATTTCTGCAAAGCTGAAAAGGCCAAAAGACAGCTGTGGTGATGTGACATGCCCTCACAAATGCTGTCAGAGCACAGAAGTCCATGCATGCATCTCTGCATCCAAAAAGACGCTATCTTACAAGGTAGTCTTTTACTGTAAGTGAAACTAACGTGACAAACTATAGAATCCAGTTTTCTGACGTCTCAGGTTTTCCATTGTTTCATGCATACTACTGAAGAACAGTTTTAATTAAAAACCAAAACTCCACACAGTATGCTCTTTTCTCAAACACTAAGTAAAAACCAGTATTACTTAATCACCAGGAGGCACTAGATTAGTCCCATCTCATGTGACTGAAGAAAACACTAGGAAAGATGATGATACCAAGCAGGCTGAAAATGTGGTTAGAGAATTTGACCAAGCTTTCCTTTTTTTTGGATTAGTCATTAGTGCAAAATACACGTGCAGCAACTATTGCACTGGTACTTCCCCCTTTTTTTTTTTAATTTACAAGAAGATTATTGAGGAAAATAAATAATGCTGAATTCTCACCACGTGGAGAGTTTTTTCATGCATAAGCAGTCTGTAAGCTTTGCTGCTAAAGCAGACACAATTTTCCAATAGTCTCCGATTACCAAGCCTTGAACCTAAAATACTACACTCTTTTACAAGACAATGGAATTTGAAAGAGGCACTAACCCACAGCAAGACTCGGGACATAAGCATGTCCTCTACAAAAGGTGTAATAGCAAAAGCAGCTAACGTATGCAAAATGAGTTAGCAGCACATCACACTTTCACATACACTGTTACAGAGGAAGCAAAAGGTGTTCAAACAGATAAAAGCTATTGACATGAATCTGATAAATCCAGCCTGCCTCTACTACACATGGCTTGATTAACAATGAAGAGTGAAAGCATCAGACTCTTAATCAACTTGCATCACATGCAGATAATACTCATACCCATTCCAGTCCCATCCTGTTTATGCCACTGTTTTTGTAGGCATAGCTAGCAAGACTCTGGCGTTATCATGATCTTGGACAGCAAGGCTGAAAACAACTCTGGGGTAAAGAACCCTTTACACAGCCATTGTAGTCAGAGCACAGCAGGAAATTCATTTAGTGCTCTCAGCACTATAGAAAATAGAGGATATTTGTGGCAGATTTTGTGGAAGGTAAACAAACATTGCTAAGACTCAAGATCAGCAATGGTTCTTCAAATACCATAGCTGAAAATCTACAGCCAGATTTCAAAATCTCCTTTTTTCCAGCCACCACCCACATCTCCAGTGCCAAGATTGTCAGCCTATACAGAACTTTAATAAATTTTTTCCATTAGGCAATGGCAATTTTAATCAGACTGCAGGCTTTGCTCAAGACAAGGATCACAGGTTTAACACTTACTTTTCCAATTCTAAATTGCCTGTTCTCTTAATAATGCAGTACTTTGATTCTCAAGCAAGGCTGGCAGGTACCATTACCTTGTAAATAAAGGTAGTGCATGCCATTTAGCAATGATGGCTCAAAAAATCACTAATGACAAGCATGCTGGTTTGGGGGACTTTTGCTATAGAACATTCCTTCTGAATCTTAGTTAATGCAGCACTTCATTTAAAAAAAAGTAATTTTTTATACTGTTATGCCCCAAACATTATAGGCGTATACCCCAAACATTACAGGCATGTCCTCCCCCAAAGCTCTTTCATATTATATCATGTTCAAGCAGCTCTATACCTTATGAAAAAATGATGTAACCCATGGAAACAACTTCACTAAATGACTGAAGTAAATTGCCTCATTTCTTTGACCACTTAATATGTAGTCTGCATACTCTATCCAATCTAGTATCATATTTAGTCTACGGTGCCTTTCTAGAAACATGTGGCTCTAATAGTGGTTTCGGACAAACTTCTTGCTTTATACTGGAGTTGTGGCTTTTGCTTGATGACTAATTTCACATAGCTGATCGAAATATTAAAATTGCTTCAACATTTCAGAATAAGGCTTAGAATCCTAAGGCTAAAAACTAAATGAACATTTAGTTTTAAATACTAAAAGCAGTTTAGAGACTTGAGAAATTGTTTGATTCATGCACATTAAATTATGAGGAAAACACCTTGGAAAATACTTGAAGACTGTCAACCTGAACAACTATGAAATAGCCAAGCTTTTTCTTAAAAAAAGACTTCAAACAAAATGCTAGTAAAACAGACTCATCTACTTTAAGCATGTCCTATTTATGCTTTATAATCA